CAACTTAATCGCTTGCTAACAGAACATACTAAAAGCACCTGGTACACAGCTTTAAGTAATAAGAAGTATAACCCATCCATTTCTTAGCTGAATGACCCTGCGAGTATTTTTATAATGCAAAAATTTAGCGTAGAACTTGTTAAATTAAAGGGGGCATTCGTCCATGTTCACTACTAACAGTGATGCCAGTAGCTATTTCTTATTTAAGAGATATTAGTTGACTCTACCTTCAGCAGAGCGGAGGGAACTGAAAAAAAATGAGCCTTTGCCAATTCTTATTCTCTGTAGTATACAAGTGGAGTTTTTTCTTGATTTAAATAAAATGTTAAGGCTCCAATTTCCAGAATCATTATTAATGACAAATTTGTGAAAAGCTTTTGCACCCAAAATTTCACTTGTGGAAAAGAGTGTTTTCACCCGAACTTTTACCTTTTAGAACTTTCCCAAAATATTCGTCGTTTTACGTTAAAGCGTTTACTATCTCATCAATTAACTTAGAAATTAATGGGTGGTGTTTATGACACAAACTATCTCATTAGATAACTTCTAGCTTACAGAATTTCCAACAAATTTTAATTGTGGATACTTAAGTGAAATGTCATTAGCTGAAGCCTTAAAAGCCACTCTTATAGGTTTAACTACTGCGTTCCTATATGGTGCAAAACTCCCTCCTTTTTCCCTAACAATTTAATTTTGCATAATATTATAAGCTACATTCAGAAACATATTTAGGCATTTTTATAGTTGGGTTTTAAACTTTTTTTAATGTTTAAAAAAGTTTTCATTATGTGAACAATGTAAGTAATTTATTTAATATGATGGACTGGGAAGCGTTCCCCATTATGAACAGTAGTATTTTGCTTTATTTTAGGTATAGCTTTCTAGTAAGAAGGCAATTCTATATTTAAATATCGACTATTTTTAAAACGTTAGGAAAGAAGCATCTATTGCTTATGTATAATTCCCCTCTAGGTGTAAAAAATAACTTTGCTTGGCCGTTAGCCCTTTAGAATGGACGATTTTGTTTCTAAGTAGCTTATCTCATTATAAACATGTATTTTGTAAATTGAATTTATTCTAAAAATTTTAATGCTCAATAAATTTTATTTTCTTGTTACATTCTCTGACAAAGTAACATTTTTTATGCTTATAAATATTTACAAAAGATTGACTAGTTAATTTATTATCTGAATTGTCGCTTTTTCGCAATTTTTTGTAAGCACTGCTAAGAAATATGTCGTTACTACCTTTCCTTTTTTAATGTTACAAAAAATTATAACTGCGAGTCAACTTAAAAGCAAAAGAGGATCTTTTAAATCTTAAAGTTTTAGAGTTTACTCTAGTATATCCATCTTCTATACCCACATTACAAAAATTATTCAAATAATTCAGTTGTATTGCAATGTACAGTTGCCTATTAATGACCACTAGATTAAGGTAGAATTTAACGAAAGACTACAAATAAGGTTATTTACTACGTAATTATTATAGATGTGGCTTTAATTGTAATTGTAAATGCTACAAAAATATATATTAGTTTCTAGGTGTCTAATTATACCATCCTAAGGGTTGCAAAACATTCTTAACAAAAAGTTGAAAGAGTGCGTCAATACAATATACATGGCATCATTAATATCAAAATTTAAAGTTTTATATAAATAAGTAGTTGCAACCCTCCACTATATATATAATAAAAACCCACAGAAGTTATAAAGAGGAGGATTAATAAAATTAAAAAACCGCCGAGTTATACACGGCTATACACTAACACCTAACAATGTAGTGATACATACTCAGCCTCAGATGAAGTCTTAAGGGCATTGTTCTAAAAAGTTTCAATTTTTTTTTTGTATTTAAGCTCCATTCAAGTTAATTAAATGTCCCATGGTAGTTGGATTTCCAAGGTTATTTGTTTATGAAGCATAGCAATAGCAGGAATGGTTATCTCATTTTTCATATCTTTTTGTCCGTTAAAAAGAAACCTGTGCTCGTGATTGCTGCCATTAAAAACCTACTTAGTAAATTCATTACTTAAGAAATATAAGGGCTATTACTACCGTAAAATGTTACGTAGAGAGCCAACAATGGTATAGAACCCTTCCCTAAAAATAATTTTGGTGTTCCCTAGGTATTAGTTTAGTGTGAGCACAATCAAGGTTGTTAACTACTCCATTTCAAAATAAAACTTTTTTGCTAGCTTTCTTAAATTGTTTTTTTGGTTGAAGGAAACACGTGGTTGTTTCTTTTAATTTTTGTTAATAACTTTTTAACATACCTAAGTATGACGCAATCGCTCATCGTATATGCTGGTTATGGTTCCACGGTGGCAGAATAAAAGATACAGTCATCAATAAAGCTTCACTTACAACCATATTTACCTAACCGTTGTTAAAGGTCTTTGTAGAATAACTTGACTGATTCCTTGTAATACGTATGTAGTAATCTTTCTGTAGTGATCGTAAAGTAATAGTTGATTCCGTTTTAGAGCGAAGAAAAAAGGTACTTGTGATGTTTTCCATGTGTAAAGGGATAGTCTTCGATTTTTTTTTAAGAGAGAAATGATCTCACAGAGGCCTGCTTCCCTATATAACAACCTCTGGCCTAGGTGAGACCTTAAGCATTAGCCTTGTCTTATAATTATTGTTTTTCTCAATATATAACCATCGTTGTATAGATGATTTTTTCGTTCTTAGGGGTATCTTTAATTTGTTTTATTTCATATTCTAGAGTTTAAGGAAAAATTATTGTTCTTTAGAGGCCTTTCTTACATTCCTGTCTTTCCTTAGAAATTATGACTTTATTAAAAAGTGGGACGTGCAAAGTTTCGATAAAGGTTTTATATGTTCAAAAAAAAAAAAATAAAGGGGAGTTGTAGAGTAATCCCACTTTTGGGGGACATAATGTTAAGATATTTCAAGGATGCTTCCTTTATTCGCGAATAACGTTCTGTTTGATAAGTGCAAATCTCAGTTTCGATGCTCTCAATAATTGGAAATTAATTGTTAGCATTTAGTTTATTGCTATGCTAGGTTGTTCGCAACTCTTAAAATCGATTTAGAGCATTACAAAGCTTTTCTAATATATATGTCTCTGTGTTAAGAGATCTTTTGTTTTTCCTTAGTTGTATAAGGAAGAATAAGGTAAAGTCAAGTTTATTACAATTAATTTTTTATTCTGCTTTTACTGGTGTTTAAAATAGTCCTTTTGTTCATAATTAATGGCATTACTGTTTGTGCTTACAAAAATATTATTTTTAATTAAGTTCAGGTTGTTGTTTTTTTTTAATAATTTTGTCGTCTTGATTCTGTTTCAATATTAAGTTTTACATTTTCAGCATAAGTCGGGATGTGCAATGTGATAGTATGTTGATATAATAGTCGGTTCATTAGGTGTGTTCTCACTTCGTGCGTTCTAAAGTTTATTTAAAAATATTATTATAGCATTTACAATCAATGAGAGTATAGATCAACGTGTGTGTCTGTTGAAAACTGTGTATTCAGCTGAAGCTTATGGTCATAATATAATACTTCGCATGCAAAAGGTTTGCTTGGGTCAATTCACTGGATTTTCATTTTATATACTTATGTGACAAAGAATTTGGTTTTCTTTAGGTATTCTGTAAGTTGTGTGCTCTTTGGAGCTTCACTCTTTAGTTTATAGATGCACCTCGCCAAATTGTATATAGGTTGTAAGGTTGTTCACTTAACAGATATTCGAGAGTGCCCTAGAAGTCTTAGTAAGAAAAAACACTTACTCTTCCAAATAAATCTTTAAATGTGTTATTTATATCACTCCCTTTTATCTGTGCGTATTTCTTTAACTGTAGAAATTAACGTGCCCTCACTTATTTATAAATTTTAAATGTTAGTTGTGAGATTGTTCAATAATGAAATTTTTTTATTGGTATAAAATGCAGAGCTCTGTTTTGACTTAGAATTTATTGCAATGACTTCGTACTGATATTCATCGCGAGAGATGGCATTCCTTTGCAAAGTATTAATGTAAAGTAATCCTAGTAGTTTGTCTTTAACAGAAAACAATTTTCGTTAACATTGTTTTCATTCATTTTTAAGTTTAACAAACTTCACACTGAGCAGTATTACATAGACATTAGGATAATTATTTTTCAGAGATTTGTAACTTATGGTTATTATTCGCAGGAAAGTAAGCAAATACTTGTACTTGTTTTTATTCTTGCTCTTTTTTTTTTCTCCTTTACTTTCTTTTCCCATCAGAAAATTAGTTATTAAGCATTTAAAATTTAAACAGGGAACTATAATTGAAATTACAGTTTTTTGGATGATAGAGGTTTTTACGGGCTATATCAAAATATATACAACATAAATAAATTATAGAATGTATGATCCACGTACCCAGCGGGTACAACTTAAAAGTAGTCTTAATGGTAGTAACACCTATCGTTAAACTTATTTAAAAAGGGTATCACGCAGTTTTAAATACGAGGCACGACAATGCGTAGCATTTAAAAGTTATTAATTATAAGCTATTTAAGTACCACTTATACATTGTTCACTTTAATTAATTAATAGGAATAGTTGAGAAATGTCAAGGATTGAAAGTATTCATGAGTAAAATTTTAAATTTATAACATATTACTGCGGCAAAAGTATGTATCTTAAATGATTTGTAAATTTGGATTTTGTAACAAAAGTTAAGAAGCCGACTATTAATTAATTTAATGTTTACTTCACCGTTAGTTTGCCTTTGTTCAATTAATTCACAAGTGAGAAGCATAAACTGTTTCCTATAAGCTAGAAATCTTTAAAAATAAGCGAAATTTGTACATCCCACTCGATACTATTGACAACGATTACAAAAAATTTATTACAACGAATCGGTTTACAATAATTCTCCAACCACGATCATGGCGAGCTTATGATTACTAATCGATCAGGACGGAAATCAACCATAAGTCCTTCTCTACAAGACACGTCTTGTAATACTGGGGTAGTGATTGTGATGCACCTACTTATTACTTTTAACTCTCGCACTCGTTATATCTGCTGGGGTAAATGCTCTATACGCCTTACACATCGTTTACTAGGTCAGCTTGTTAAGGGTATATACCACATACCTGTTAAAGATCAGAGATTAAGATGGAATGGAAAAGAGGCCTCTACGTTAACGCATTTACCACATTTTCAAGAAAATGGTAAGTTTTCTTTATTCTTGCTTTTTAATTTTTTTATTGATTTCTGGAAAAGACGTTATTCGGATCGATGTTCTTCTTCGCCTACGTGGCGGAAAAGGTGGCTTTGGCCAGATGCTTAGAAATTTGGGTGCGAGATCTGCTAGTAAAGAAACTACAAATTTTGAAGCTTGCAGGGATTTATCCGGTCGAAGACTACGTGATATACACGAAGAAGAAATGTATTTTCAGATTTTTTTACAAAAGTTTTTAATAAAAATTTTAAAATTTGTAGGTTAGCAAATTGGATAGTTAAAGAGGAAGAAAGGAAAAAAAATGAAGAGGAGAAAAGGAAGAAAAGGCAAGCTAATATTTTGGAAGGGCCTAGCCACAGTTTTGATTATAATAAACTTGGGGATGAGACAAAAAAGATCAAATGTTCAATCGAAGCCGCCATCGGTGAAGGTATCTTCCTTCACTTTCTTTTTTTGTAAAGGGTATTAATATTAAAGTTGATATTCAGCTTTTAGTGTTCAATCTAAAGAGCGCGTCCAAGCAATAAAGGTAAACCACCGACCAAAGCCTCTGAAAATTTGGTAATTTTTTTTAAAGATGGCTTAGATAATTTAAATTAACTATAAGAAGGGACGAAGATGATCTTAGTGACTCTAGCGAAAATACTGAAGACTTAAACGAATTTTTAAAAAATACCTCCCTTGAGTCGAACGTGGATTCCTTTACAGGAAAAGCAACGTGTGGAGTACCTTCTGATTCCTGTCCTTCTCTCGATAACAAGAGCTGTAAAGAGTCGACTTCCGGCGATGAAATTAAGCAAAAAAAGAAGCCTTTGGAAACTAATCCCGTACAAAATCCTATTGACTTGTGTCAGTATAAAACTAGTCAGGAATTGGAGGAACTTGGACTTGAGTTTTTAAAACAAGAACTTTTGGCGCGAAAACTAAAATGCGGTGGGACTTTGGAACAACGAGCAGCCCGGCTATATAAGGCGCTCACTGAGGGCAAGTAGCGGGAGATGTTAAGAGTAGTTAACTTTTTTTTTTGAACAGTTCGTAAGAAATCTATAAACTTTGGCATCTCTTTTCCTTTTTGTTTTTTGTATTGTGAGTAACCAACCTCGCGAGTTACATTTTTCCTACAATAACGTTTAGCTTCTATTAAAAAAAATTTGAGATTGAATCTTAAATATAGTATAAATTTTTTTTAGGTAGTTATTTTATTTATAGTTTTTTTAAAAAATTGTTTCAAGCAGTAAACTTTCAGTTTAGCTTTTTACACTTGTGATTAAACTTTTGAACTAAGAAACGTTATTGAATGTCTACTTTACTTTGCCTTCCGTTCAAGTTAAAGGAGATCTCCTCAACTTATCTTTATATATGTCTCCTTTTTAAGCGGATTATTCAAGCAATATTAAAAAATATTTGATTATATAAACCTCTTTTTACTGACAATTGCATGATATGCTTTTTTACGCGTTTGTCCTTGCAAACTTGTAAAATTTTTAAGAAGAAAATTATATTTAGTTAAGTAATATATACTGCGCATCTTTTAGATTTGCTTGATTGCTACTTCTATCGGCGGCCAGTGGTAGATTCTCAGTCACATAACCTTCTTGCTGACCCAAAAAACCATTTTCTAAGAGGGGCCCTGCGAAAGAGCACCGAATTTACAATAACTAAAGGGGAAAAAAATGAATCTTTAGCATTACCCATAAAAGAAACGCTTGTGTATTCATCTTCGCTGTCCAAGAAATCACTCTCTACGTTTTTTATGGATTAAAAGTATAATAATCTCAGGCTAAGCAGTAGTAGGAACCGAGGCCATCGTCCTCGGCATCAGAAGAAACGTGCAACTCCAGATTCTCAGGGACAGTGCGAAAAATTTAAAATATATTAAGAGCTAAGGATAAAATGCGAAGTTGCACCTCTAACGAGCCAGTACTATCCTGCAAGCTGATTATTTCACTAAGCAAAGCACGATTAACTCGTACAGCCATAATCTGTTGCTGCCTTAGTTCAATGGAGCTAATCATATCTTTTACGAAACTATGCTCTTTTTCAAGGATCTTAGAAAACAGAGAGGTTCTACTTTTTTCTTTGATGAAACTATATCGCGTAGTACCCCTAAACTTTCAAAGTTTTGGACTGCTTGGAATGCCTTCTGCCACTTGTATAAAAGTGGGAGATACACAACTTTGTTTAAACGGCCCAGCTAAACTTAAATAAAGAAATTTAAATAGTTTATGCCTCCAATAATAGCCGAAGGACATGCCTCTCTCACGCAATTTAAGATCGAGGCGTTGTGCTCGCTGACTTCTACTTGAATAATTTTTTCTGTAGTAAACCCAAAGGAACTCGAACTTCTATATCCAAAATCTAAGCCTGACAGCCTTACCAACTCTTTAAATAAATACATACTTGCTTTCGGTGGCCATAGAAATTTCAGGCGCCTAGACACTAATAATATTCTTCTAGTAAAACAATTATAATATATGAACTACAATTTTCGGTTTGCTGTCGAAAAGTAGAGAGAAGCAATTATCCTATGTGAGTGTAAAATAGACATGTCAAAAATTACTCAGGCTACTAAGCTTTTTAATTTTTTAATTATAAAATTTAAAAATTTATATGAGCTTACAAGTTTTGTTACTTGGTCATACAGTTCTTGCTTCAGCTTATTAAGCTCTAAGACTGTTTCGTAAAGGCGCTGGCGAAGCTGTATTTGCCGCTGCGCCTGTTTAGATATATATTATTATTAAGGATAATAACTACTTATGATATTAATTGTACATAGAAACTATTACCGGCAACTTTGATTCAGTTATATTAAAGCTTTTCTCTATTATTTGCTCAAAGTTTACTTTATGGAAGTTACTTAGGTACGAAATAAAAAGGGGCAACTAATTAAAATTTTAATAAAATTTAAAAAATTAATAAAATAATGAGGCTAAACTGTTTTGTATTGACTGCTATATTTTATATTCCACTCGCTAAGACTTAACAAAGATTCATATTTCAGACGACGGCCAAGTTCTTCAGAGAAGAGCTGTTTATGTCCCCCAGCGAGCCCTTCAAGCAAAGTACAGACTTAAATAAGAAATAAAAAACTAAAGTAGAGTTGCATAAGGTTACCAGTAACAAGAAAAGTGTACTCTTTGATATTTTCAATCAATAAATTTCGAAATTTACAGGACCGTAAAAATAAATATTTTACCAACTGAAAAGTATTATATTTAACCTGTTTCAAAAGTTAAAAAATTACAATTCTATAAAGTTTTATGAGTACCCTAAGGTCTTCACTTTTCAAAGACTCAAAAACTCCTTTAAAGACGACATTTATAACGCGGTTATTTTTTTTTAAAAACTTTTTTAACTCCTAATATGGAGGGATATAACGTGAGATTAAAGACGTACAAAATTGATTTTTGTTTACCAAAAGCAAATTCTCATTTAACTCTAAAGAGTTGCAGTGCGTTAACTTTTTAAGGAGGCGATAAATCTTTTTATTTAAATCGTCCATCTTTATCGCCTAATATTAACCAACAACAACTACGCAATGACGACAAAAATAAAATTAGCTGGTCTTTTCCTGGTGCAAAGTATATAGGTGCACACCTTTTACCAATTACTAGTACTTTAGCATATACTAAAAATAGAAATAAAATTATTCTACCTTAATAGGGGGAAGTATATATCTCCGCAGTCGTGTAGTCTAGAAAGATTAGTATTTTCGAATCACGTAGGTGGTTTGTAGTAACGAGCCGAGGGTTGAATTTATATTTATAAAAAAAGGTCTAAATTTTAAAAATTACGATTCCTTAAGTAAAATGTCAGTATACGTTTAGCGTAAACATACCTTCATTTATATAGTCATGACTGTAAAAGCTAACTTATATCAAGAGGATCACTTTCTATTTATTCTATATAACCCTTAACTCGATGCTTTTACAAGTAAGTGCGTTGCTTATTAAAAAATTTCTAGGCCTATTATTAATATACCCTAAATCTCCTTTTGATAATTACTTTCGCTACTCATTTAAAGTTTATTCATTAGGTTTAAAGTATTGCACCTAATTCACTATAACTTGTTATAAAGTAATAATTCTATAAAATTCTTGGTTTTCAATACTTTAATTTAAATTTCGCCTCTACCTTAGGTAACGATATGCGAAAAAGAGGGGAATATACGTTTTTAGCAAACAACTTATTAAGTTACTATTTGTTAGAGGCCTCTGAATGGGGTCATCCACAGTAAGTCGACTACGGAGTTTTAATTTTTCTAATATTTGATCATAATTTATTAGCCTAACTAATGGTTTACTTTTGTGCTCTTGTTGACATCTATATGGTATATCTTTTACTTTTTATAACATATTTAAATCGTATTCAAAGCTTATGTCGTAAATCGTTATATAATTTACAACTGCTGCAAGGGGTTCGCACTTTGTTTTCACTAAAAACTTGTATAATGCGCGCCCTTGCGAATAATATAAATAACTCACAGCTACATTTCAGTAAAGTTTCTAAGTTTACACTAAACATTTTGTTATACTAAAATTTCCGGTCCGTGTTAATCTTTACTCTAAACGAAAACTATAAAATAGTCAATAATGTTTACTATGCTATGATAACTTTGTTCACTAAATTTAATAAGGCGTAAAAAAATATGGGCCAGTTTAAACAAAACACTAAAGTAAACATAGAAAAGTTAAAAGCGGCTTATCAAATAAAGGTTTTGAGAACTTATACACGAACCAACAAACTCAAAAGATAGGCAAACCTAATATTATAAATATATTAAACATGAAAAAACTTAACTAATAATTTGCAAACCTGTTTCTAAAACAATAATTAGCTTATCAAAATATATTTTTCTTACCGTTATTTTAATAGTAAAAATTTTATATTTAAAATCGGACAACCTATATAACTTTAACCAAAGTTAAAGGCACTATTATAATAAAATTGGCAGTGCAATTCACTTTTAATATAGAGGAAAAAAAGTATTTTCGGTAAACTTTAATGCTTTGTATCTATGGGTATCATATCTATTTTTTAAACCTCGAAGGTAAATTAAGAGCTTTTAAAAACTAATGACATTTTTTTTGCCTTCAAAACTGGCAAACTTTCCGCTTAAATGAGGAGTTATCTTGACTTTGAATATATATATATATATATAAAGAAAAAAGTGCAACATAATTGGTAAATAAATATTTTTTAGTTATTCAAGAGCTAATAAATGAAGCTACCACAGAAAATGTTAAAAGTTTTCTAGGTCTTATTACATCTTCAGTAGTTAAGTTATTACAAGAAATTTAAATAATTAGCTTTAAGTTAGCTTAAATAATAATAACAGACAACTTTAAACTATATGGGACAATTTTTAATATAAAAGTAAATGTCATAATTTAAAATACGTTAATTTAATAAACTGAATAACCATATTTCCCAATCTATTTATAGTAAATAAATGCCAAAAAAAAATACCTGTTTAAAACTACCTAAACAGTGCTTTACAAAAACCAACATTGAGCGGCCCTATATATAAATAACCCTATGCAAGGTAGTACGATTACCTAGTAACATTATAGTTACTAGATACTAGCACTGCTTAAAACTATCAAAGATTTTGGAAGCTCTCAGCCCAATAATGGTCTTCAAATAAAGTTATATAAACATATCAAGCTAAGCACTTTAACATCAGCCAGGGAGCGGAATATAGTGTTTTTTCATCACTTATATTATGATGCCCTTGACTTTTGCGCTCGATTTGGCTATTTGCACTGAAAATTACCGTAGGCATAGAACTTAGTAAATTTAAACAATTTCATAATAATTAAGCAGGTATATAATCACCAAAGGAATAGACAACATCAATAGGCAACTCTAGTATAGTATATTCGAGCATAATTTCAGTATTTTGCCAGGATTCTAAGAGACAACTAAAAGACTGGTTACAATACCACAGATTTTGTTACGATTCTAGAGATAGTAAGGTCCTCTGACGATAACAAGCGCCCAGAGATGGACTTATAATTTAAAATATATAATAAGGAGAAAAAAACAAAAAGGTGAACTAATAACCTTAAACAATAATAGTTAACAGAAGATCTCAGAGCAAAAGTGAAGCTAATGTGCACAACTACATCAAAGCTGCTCACAGGCGAAAATAGAACTTAAGAAAAGACCGTGGAAAGAAAAAGAACTTAGAAATTTGATGAAGCAAAAGTAGCTCAGAGAAAATTTGCGACAGATGCTCTGTATGAAGAAAGCAACAGAATCTGCTCCTTCGCCCTAAGGAGGAAAACCTTAAATGTCTGTTTAAGAGCTAAAAAGACAAATCAGAAAATTTCATGCTTTGGCGCATATAACATAATATATATCCAATGAAAATGAAGACAGGGGTGCACGCTAGATTCATAGCAGGTTTTAACCTGACAAACACACCCAAATCTTGTATGACCAAGTCAGGCCATGTAGGGTACTGGAGTTTCCTGTAATAAAAATCTGAATAGAAAACAGAGTTAAACTTTGTTAAAATGAACGCGCACTTATTCCGTGCTCTATATGTATTGCATTGCTTTAAATAATTTCGAGAAACCTGACCCAATCAATCTGAAATTTTCAGCCAATGGGTTTTTCCAAAATTTAATTAAACAATTCCTTTTTTAAACACAAGAATTGTATTTTTGCTTGCGCTTTGTTATATGGAAATGCTACTAAAGTAAATGATAAATGTTTGTTACTCTGCAACATTTGTTACCAGTTCAGAGCCGACAACGTCTTTGCGAAAAATTCACCGCTCGCCAGTCAAAAGGCGTAGCTGCTTGTTTTACCTCACTTAAAGTGAAGAGACTATTACCGGTGGGTTGCAGGCTCAGGCAGTAGACGCGTATGAAATGATTGGTCGGATACACAACACATACAATCGTCTCTGTTGCGCAACGAGGGTTTCCTTCGGGCGCAAAGTAGAAGGTAAATAGTTTGAACCACCACCTTGACTTTCACCGCTATATATTCTCAGTAAGGGCCCTCAGATATTTCGCCTGAGGATACCAAATAATTATCTTGTTTGTAAAGGTCAACAGCGGTTGTGGTGTAGTGCGCTTCTTCTTTAATAATTTTCCAACGACCACACCAGTTGGTAAGCGTCACTAGGCGCTAGCACAATAAGGCCGGCCACTTAAAATTCGCCGTTA